ATAGTCTTTACATTATCTCTTTTGTCTTGCTCTCACATCAGAGCCCATGCTGCTCTCCGCCCGCCCTCCTCCTCCTCGGTTCCTCCTCAACTTCTAATCCCCTTTATTTAAGAATTCTAAAGAGAAAATTTTTTTTTTCCAATTTCAACTACTAAACTATACAAAATTAAATATTCGATATTAAAATTAGCTCTTCTCAATCTATTATTAATCTTAATTTTGTAATTTAATAAGATGCAAGTAGAAAATATTAAGAAAAATTTTTTTTTCATTGTGTAAAAACTAAATATGACCGAACTTAGAATGACCAAGTATTTTTTTTGTAGTTTAGTTGAATAATAAGAGAAATATTTTTTTATCTCTTGTTTTATTTTATTTATATATCATATAATTTAAATTTAATATTTTTTACTTTTTAACAAAAAAAAAAAAAACTAATCACTAAACTATTTAGTCTAAGACACATTTTTCTTAATTAACCATAAATTAGAGTCCAATTCAAGCACTTCTCACTCCCGTCTTCTAAGACATCATCTTCTACACACTCAAGCACGCTCAAGCATACTCCTCTCTTTCTCAAATATATATATATTGTCAACCAGGCACCTCCCTTCCTCCTCACTTCACTTCTCGTTCCCTCACCTATACCCAAAATGATCTTCCTTTTCCTCTCCTTTCTCTTCATTTCCTTCCCTTTCCTCTCTCATTCCCTCAACCAGGAGGGTCTCTACCTTCTCTATGTCAAGAACTCCCTCTCCGACCCCGACAATGCCCTCTCCTCCTGGAACCCCCGTGACCCAACTCCCTGCCACTGGTTTGGCATCACCTGCGACCCCACCACCTATACCGTCACTGCCCTGGACCTCTCCAATAGCAACCTTGCCGGCCCTTTCCCTTCCATCCTCTGCCGCCTCCCCTCCCTCTCCTTCATTTCCTTCTTCAACGACTCCATCAACTCCTCCCTCCCTGCCGACATTTCCTCCTGTCAAAGTCTGACCCACCTTGACCTTTCACAGAACCTCTTCACCGGTGTTCTTCCAGCGAGCTTAGCCGACCTGCCTGAGCTTAAGTACCTCGACTTAACGGCTAACAATTTCTCGGGTGACATTCCCGAATCCTTCGGGCGGTTTCAAAAGCTGGAGGTTATCTCTTTGGTTTACAACCTCCTAGATGGCACGATCCCGGCATTTTTAGGGAATATTAGCACGCTAAAGATGCTCAATTTGTCTTACAACCCGTTTATTCCGGGTCGGATCCCGCCGGAGGTGGGCAATTTGACGAACCTGGAGATTCTGTGGCTAACCGAGTGTAATTTAGTCGGCGAGATTCCCGACTCGCTGGGTCGACTCAACAAGCTCACCGACTTGGACCTGGCGCTGAACAATTTAGTGGGTCGCATTCCAAGTTCTGTCAGCGAGTTGGCGAGTGTGGTCCAGATTGAACTCTACAACAACTCGCTCACCGGCGAGTTGCCTCGGGGATTCTCTAATTTGGCCAACTTAAGGCTTCTCGACGCCTCAATGAATCAGTTGACTGGGAATATCCCAGATGAGTTGACTCGCCTTCCACTCGAAAGTCTCAATCTTTACGAGAATCGTTTTGAAGGTACGGTGCCCGCCAGTATTGCTGACTCACCGAATTTGTACGAACTTAGGCTGTTTGGAAACCGACTCAACGGGGAGTTGCCCGGTAATCTTGGAAAAAACTCGCCGTTGAGATGGCTCGATGTGTCGAACAACCAATTCACCGGTCAGATACCGGCGAGTCTATGCGAGAAGGGTGAGCTGGAGGAGCTTTTGATGATATATAACGAGTTTTCTGGTGAAATTCCAGAGAGCTTGAGCAAGTGTCAGAGCTTGAGCCGGGTTCGATTGGGTTCCAACAGGTTGTCCGGTGAGGTACCAGCTGGTTTCTGGGGCCTTCCCCGTGTTAACTTGCTTGAGCTTGTTGATAACTCATTTTCTGGTCCGATTGCAAAGACAATTGCCAATGCCGGCAACCTTTCCCTCTTGATTATATCAAGAAATGAGTTTAATGGGTCAATACCAGAAGAGATTGGTTTTCTGCAGAATCTGAGTCAGTTTTACGGTGCTAATAATAGGTTTAGTGGGTCATTGCCGGAGACCATCGTGAATCTTTCTGATTTAGGGATTCTTGACCTCCATGGTAACCACTTAACCGGCGAGTTGCCTAGTGGAATTGAATCCTGGAAGAAGTTGAACGAGTTGAATTTAGGGAATAATTCATTTTCCGGGAAGATACCCGAAGGAATCGGGAGGCTGTCTGTGTTGAATTATCTTGATTTATCAAGCAACCAGTTTTCAGGGAAGATCCCAACTGAGTTCCAGAACCTGAAGCTCAATCAGCTCAACTTGTCAAATAACAGGTTCTCAGGTGAGCTTCCTCCATTTTTCAATAAAGGAATATACAAGAACAGCTTTCTTGGAAATCCTGGTTTATGTGGAGGGTTCACTGGTTCTTGTAATGGTAGATATGAGGACAGGGATGGAGGTTATATTTGGCTGCTTCGATTCATTTTTGTATTAGCAGCCGTCATTCTTGTTGTTGGTGTTGTCTGGTTTTACTTCAAGTACAGGAGTTTCAAGAAAGCAAGAGCTCTAGATAAGTCTAAGTGGACACTAATGTCGTTCCATAAGTTAGGCTTTAGTGAACATGAGATACTGGATTGCCTCGATGAGGATAATGTGATTGGTAGTGGATCCTCTGGGAAAGTCTACAAAGTTGTGCTTAGTAATGGGGAAGCTGTCGCAGTGAAGAAGCTTTGGGGAGGAGTGAAGAAGGGGAACGCGAAGGAAGATCTTGAGAAAGGTCAAGTTCAAACCAAAGATGACGGGTTTCAAGCAGAAGTTGAGACTTTAGGGAAGATTAGGCACAAGAACATTGTTAAGCTATGGTGCTGCTGCACAACCCGGGATTGCAAGCTTTTGGTCTATGAGTACATGCCAAATGGTAGCTTGGGTGATTTGCTACATAGTAGCAAAGGAGGGTTGTTGGATTGGCCAACAAGGTACAAAATTATCATGGATGCAGCTGAGGGGCTTTCTTATCTGCATCATGATTGCGTGCCTCCAATTGTGCATAGAGATGTTAAGTCTAACAATATACTGTTGGATGGGGATTTTGGTGCTCGAGTGGCTGATTTTGGGGTTGCAAAGGTGTTTGATGCAGCTGAAAAAGGTCCCAAATCTATGTCTGTGATTGCAGGGTCTTGTGGTTACATTGCTCCAGGTTAGTCTTTGAAATTCTCTGAATCAGTGTTTTTGTTAAATGTTTTCATACATTCTAGTTGGAGGTTGATGCAACCACTATAATTTGCTTCGAATGATCATATCTGCAACTGATAAATATGTAGTAGTGTTTTGTGCTTAATTAAAACTAATCTATCCGTGCAAAAATTTTCCCACAGAGTATGCATACACTCTACGAGTTAACGAGAAGAGTGACATATACAGTTTTGGAGTAGTTTTACTCGAATTGGTCACAGGGAGACTGCCTGTTGATCCAGAGTTTGGGGAGAAGGACCTAGTGAAGTGGGTCTGCACCACTCTGGATCAGAAAGGAGTGGACCATGTTCTTGACCCCAAACTCGATTCTTGTTTCAAAGAAGAAATATGCAAGGTCCTCAACATCGGCCTTCTCTGCACCAGCCCCCTCCCCATCAACCGCCCCTCCATGAGAAGGGCGGTCAAGATGCTACAGGAAGTAGGCACAGCAAGTCAGCCAAAGGCTGCCAAAAAAGATGGCAAGTTAGCCCCTTACTGTTACGAAGATGCCTCGGGTCAAGGAAGTGTTGCTTGAGAACTTTTCTTTTAGTACTTGTTTGCCCCAAAAAAAAGTGTGGAAGGAGTGTGATTAAATATTAATCAAGTTTCTTGCTTCTCATAACCTTACTTTTCTCTTAATCATTATCCCCACTCCTTCCTTCACAGGTTGAGAAGATAAAGTAGGAAGAAAATTTTTCAGAGTGAGGACGAGCCTTTATATTAGCTAAGGAGTGAATGTAAAACTGTAAAGTTGTTAAAATGAATGTTTTGTTCCACAAATGAAAGAATCTGAGGAGCTGCCAGCCATTTTTCTTTTAATGTATGAGTTAACATAAATCCTCTTCCATTCCTGGTGAATGCAGGATTGAATCCGAATCTCAGGTCATTGGTTGATGCAACCGTGAGCTGGCTGCATTTATTCTGACTCAATAAATTCTGAAACCATCAACCACCTTACATTGTGCATTGAAGAAATATGGGAAGAACCTATAACAGAGGGAATCTGCTGAATTTATACCCTGAGAGCTCCCTCGGTGAAATTTTACAGTGGCTATAACTCTGTTAATGAAGAAGTTAGGTGAGGTTGGTCCTCCATGGGACCATTAGCATTTATGTGAAAGGCATTGCTGCTTCTGCATATAATTGCTCTACTCATTGAGAATTGATGCATACATCGATTTTTTGAAGAGGACTAGGCTAGCCATTGCTCTTCTCGCTTTTGATTGATTACTTGTCTTGTTCCGATTTAATGTTCTTGTTTTCTTTTACTTTTAGGGCACATATTAGGGGTGTAAGCCACTTTTTAGTCATGAAGTCATATGAAAAACGAGAAAAAGAAAGTTAATATTTGTTTTAACATCAACATCATGTGTATTAATTTAATTAATTAATTACTTAAATTAAAATTAAAATTTATTTTTTTATATAAATTAATAATTAAAAAATATATTAAATACACATTTAAAGTATGGATATAGGCTCAATTCAACAATGTTGGTTACATACTTTTTGCACATATTTATTGAACTTTTTATAATTTATGTGTTTGATAAATTATTAATTTTTATTTTTTCATAAAGAAATACAAAAGTCATCTTATTCAAAATTAATAAAAATTTTAAATAATTTAATAAAATTTTTAATTTTTTTTCATATATTATATATAAATTATTAATTAATTTAATTTTAAATAATAATATATCTAATTAAATACTTTTACAATAGATAATTTTTTAAAAATATACTTACCAAATACTAATATATGTTTTATAATAGTAAAATACAACATTTCTAACAATTACAATTATAAGATAATATCAGATAGTGTGGTCAAATTAAATCATATAAACCCTTATTTTAAAAAGAGTTAAAAGCTTTTGTTTTCGGCTTCCCACCAGCAAGGCATTGTGACCCCCTCCAAGGACCATTGTCCTAACATTTGTCAAGTGTTCTTAAATGCGTCTTTGATTGATTTGGCATTGTCCTTGATGTTTAAAATCACTGAAGGAGGAGCACACAATAACCTTTTAATGGGTCTGTAAAGCCCAAGATATAACATCATTGTTTCTTCCTTTCTTCGGTGTCCATGACTTGGGCTGAATTAGGGACTATTGACCCAAGGACTGTGGGTCTTATTAGCCCAATTCGAAACCTTGTATCTAATTTCAGTGTTTATCTAGCTATTTACTTACTACCAAAAATATCTTGCCTTTTTTTTTTTTTTTAATAGGATAAAATATAATATTAAATTAATATTTGTCCAAGGAAAGTCGAGTCTAGGATTTAATCTGCAGATTAAAATGTATTCCACCTATTTTTCACTTTGGAAAAACGTGATCGCTACTACAACCATATTAGGAATGCAAAAATATCTTGCCATTTATATTAACAAGAGAGTTTACTTTCTCCCACTTGTTAATTAAAATTCAATTTCTTGAATAGGTCAAAAAGAAGAAAATTCCACATGATATCACTTAACTGCAATATAAAAAATATTTAATTAATTTTTTCATCTAATATTAATATGGTTAAAGACAAGTCATCCATGTGCAATGAATATGTTTACGAAAACCTATATCCTTCAAGCCTTCAAAGAAATTGAACCTTGATCACTAAAATTACGTTGGTTTGTTTCAACTGAATTGTTATTTTAATTTATGATTAATTGGATACTAATTGATAACTTTTCTAGTTCAACACACTATAAAATAAATTTATTAAAAAATATTATTTTTGAATATAACATTAAAGATAGATAAATTAACTTAAAAATGAAATTATATATATAATATATAAAAATTAATTAAATCAACTGTATTTATATTATATTTTAATGACTAAGTGTAGCAAGATTTGTTAAATTGGAGGATTTACCGATATTTTTTCCTAATTAATTACATCTTGCCCACTCAAATAAATATTTAAGATGAATGAAACTATTTTAAATTCATCAAGTACAATCGTTCAATTACTCCCTTATTTTAAAATAATTAGAGTTTTTTTACTTTAAATTTATCATAAATTAATTGTTATTTTTTCATTTTTTAAGATGGATAAATATTTTTTTTATTTTAACAATACTGTTATCTATTAACTTTAATT